CCCCCCATGTACTCCTGCTGTAAACAGACTTCACATGACAACCTCAGACCACTGCAGGCCACCGATTATCATTTCATTTGCCAAAGCTCATCTGTGCAACTGCCAGGCTCACGTCAGCGTGCAGTTGCCATTCCTCTCTGGAGCCTGTCTGGGCGACCGTATTGAGCGCACGCTGTGTGAGAATCGGGTAGCGGGCATTTCCTGGGGCCAGTAGCGTGGCAGCGTGATGCCAGGCCCGCGGGAACATGGAAGAGGAATGGCGCCCGGCCCTCCCGAAGCATGCTGGGCCGTAGGCCAGGGACCAGGTGCGGCCAGAGAAGGGCCTTGCCCATCTTGCCCAACGGTATTGCCACATTCCCTGTGTAGGGTCAGGGACCTGCCTCGGGGCTCATTCGAGTAGGGTGCTTTGTTTCCCCTCAGGCCAGGCAGCTTCTCACGTCTGCCATTGAGTAACTTCCAAATGCCAACCTAAAAATTTCTGGCTCCAGAGAACGGAGAGTGACCAGTTGGGGATTAGCCCAAAAGAGCATATTCTTTAACAAAAGAAGAAAAAAAGCCATCTGAGGCAGGCTGGAAGGCGCCTGTGTCACAGACCCCTCGGTGTCGGGGCCTCGGGCCAGCCCGCTGGTGTCTGGCTCTGAGAGATGGGTCACCAGGCAGGTGGGAGCGGACCTGGGTGGAGCTAGGCCTCCGGGAGGCACCGGCAGATGGAGTCCGGGCGGAGGGGCCGGCTTTGAGGAAGGCGGACTCCTCCATGCTGTCTGCCAGCTCGGCTGGAACAGCAGGCCCTGAACACCAGATGAGGCCTCCGAGTGCCCTTTGCGGTGCGGGGGCTTCCTCTCCCAGCCCTCTGGGGCCTCCTGAGGTTCAGAGCACATTCTGTGGCTGGGCCCTTAAACACTGGACATAGCGGGGGGGTGACGAACCTCAGCCTGCGCCTCCATGTAGGAAAACTTTCCCACGGCCTCGTGTCCCAGGGGAGTGAAGTTCCCTCGTGCTTTTCCCTTGTGCGTGGGACAGCAGTGACTTCCAGTTGTAGTTGTGTGGCCTCAGGAGTCCATAAAAGGTCACACAGTTGCCCAAACTCAATTACTTTTTACTTTAAAGAGAATTAGAAGTAAGGCCCCTGGGTGTTTGATGTTTTTCGTATCCTCAGTCAGCCTGAGGTGTCCACACACAGTCTACTGACCACACGAAACGGAGCCGTATCACTGAACATTTCAGAGTTTTTTGTTGTTTTGTTCTTATTTTGTTTTTTATTGGTTTCAGGTGTACAGCTTAGTGTTTTGCTTTTTGGGTTGGTTGTTTTTTGGCTTTTTTAGGACCCTCTCGTCTGCCTGGGCCCGTGTTCCTCTCAGCCCCTTAGAGTCTGCTGGTCTGGGTGGCCTGGGCCCCGCCTTCCCTTGTGAGTCAGACGTCCAGACCCCGACCTTCCGCTGATGCCTCACGAGGGGACCCTCAGCTGTCTCAGCATTTTGGTTACAAACCTCAGGAAAATTGGTCATATTCCTACTTTAGGTAGCTTCTTCCTGAGGTGCATTTTTTTGCTTGTCTAATGAGGTGTGTTTTTGGGGGTTTTTTGGTGTGTTTTTTTTCTCCAAAAGCTGCATGTTCATCATGATAGAACATTTAAGAAATATAGTCAAGAAAAGATGTTCCTGTAATTCTACTATGTGAGATAACCATTAATACTTTCATGTATATCTTTGTCTTTTTATGTGTGTATATATAAAATCTTTACCAAAGTGGGCTTATATCTATATACCGTTTGGAAGTCTGCTTTCCCTTTAACAATCTAACATTTGTGTTTCCCGTGTCAATAGCTGTGCGCTGTACTTTTGTGGCACATTTAATGTAAAACTATATCCTGAGTAGCATTGGACACACCGCAGTTCTTGCCTACCAAAGTCTGTTTGCTTTAACATTTCTGTTAGGGGCTTTTCTGGCATCTGACTTCTTTTTGAACTTATAGAAAAACTTTTAATGAAACACTTCAGACAGTTGAAAGGGTGTAACAGGGTAATATGACAAGCACCCATATGTGCACCTTTTGGCATTTCCTCAGGAAAACTGTTAAGTATTCATCGGTGTTGGCATAATTCTCAACACAGAGCCCACGTATTGGGATGAACATGCCCCATCCCTTTGTAATCGCTCCTTTGAAATGACTGTGTCCACTGTGAGATGTCAGAACGGATGGAACCCCTCGCCCAGCCCTGAGGCCTTTCCTCTTTCTTACAGGGGGCAGTGCCCAAAGGAAATGCCACTAAAGAATTCATCGAGAGTTTACAGCTGAAGCCCGGCCAGGTGGTGTACAAGTGTCCCAAGTGCTGCAGCATCAAGCCAGACCGAGCGCACCACTGCAGGTACATGTGAGCCACGGAGCTCACCTGCACGCGCACGCGTGTACACACCCACACATGCACACACGCTTCCCCCACACGGCCACCAGAGCGGGACTTCTGAACGTCCCCTGCTCTAGGCACCGAGTGACCATGGAGTCTCTCTCCTGATCCCAGGAGCTCACTAGATGGGAAAGAGCATTTGCTTTGGGCTCAGGACACCTATCTCAAGACATGGCTCTGCCACACCTGACTTAGGACCCTGGGCAGGCCCTTGACTCTCTGCCTTTGTGTCCAGATGTGTAAAATCCAGGAGATTCCTGTTCTTCCTACCTCTCAGCTCTATTTCTTTGGTAAGGGCACCTGAGAAAAAGCTGTAGAAAGTCATTCTGTGAATGTCTAGTACTAACCTATTTATGAGGTGGGCCCTGCTCTTAAGTTTTACAGGGAAACGAAGGGGTTGTCCTCCATTGATGACTTTTCTTTTTAAAAAGCTATTGTTTTAATTGATCTTTCAGAGGGAGGGAGGGAGAGAGCGAGAAACATCAGTGTGAGAGAGGTGTCCATGGGTCAGCTGCCTCTTGTACACTCCCCAACCGGGGATCGAACCCGCAACCTGGGCATGTGCCCCAACCGGGGATCGAACCTGCCACCTTTCGGTGCACAGGACGATGCTCCGACCAACTGACCTGCAACCACGGGCCAAGGCTGAAGGCTTTTCTTTAAAACAAAACTTCAGGAGGTCATGACATTGTAGAATGCAGCCAAGAAGACATTTCCCCTTATCTGTGATTTTTCCCTTTTGGTTTTGATTTCTTTGACGAAGTCTAGCTAAAAATTGCACTTTATCACTGCAAGGGAACTTTAAATGCTAAGTTATAGAAATACAAACATATCACTTGGTCCCTTTTCCAGACTGGTGTGGAGGGATTTGGAGGAGTGAACTTCTGGTGTAGGGAGGTCACAGGATGCAAGAACAGCAGGGGGGCATTTCTGTGTGTGTCCCAAGGCCCACCTCTTGGGGGAGAGTCAGCCTCCAGCACCGGTCTGTGGCCAGCTGCTGGGCGCCTCAGCCCACTGGCTCCTTGTCAGTCACCTGCCGTTGTCCCCACGGTCAGTCTCGGAGGTGGCTCTGCCATAGGAACGACTCCCTGAATGAGAGCTTACAGCTCAGGGGGGTGAAGTGGCTTTCTCCTTCCCGGAGCCCTTGGATGCCTCCACTGCCTGGCATTGTCCTCGCCGCCGCCGCCTCCCTCTCCCAGGGTCACCTGAGGGAGGTGGTATTGAGGGCTAGTAAACACATCCGCCCAGAAAACAGGAGCTGCTGTGTCAGATGAACTCGGGGAAGGTGCCCATGTGCTTCCTGCTCCTGACTCGGGAAATGTGTGCTGACAACTGCTTTGTGGCGGCTCATGGTGGCCCACGCCGTCTGGGGACCACAGTTTCGGATACACAAGAGTCCTTCCCCGGCACCAGGCACCACACACCAGGCAGAGGTGGGTGTATGACTGGGTGAGCCCGGAGGCCTGCTGTCTGGTTAGAGGAAGCTGGGAGCCCGGGCTGCTGGTTCCTGGTGTTGAGGACCATGGCAGCAGGTGGAAATTCTGCGGAGGGGGCCGTTTATGAAGTGGACAGCCCAGGCGTTAGGTTCATGCGTTAGGTTCTTGCACAAGGAGGTGGAGGCCTCTGACCTTGGCAAAGCGTCACTCCCCTGCTCTCCCCACAGGCACACATACGCCGAGGCTGAGCCAGCCATGGACTGCTTAGGGCGTCGGCCAGATTCTTATTTTGTCTTTCTCCTGGTTATGACTTTATAAAGGTTGTAAAGCCCTCGTATTGTTAAAGCATTTTCTTTATAGACTTTATCTCAGCCTTGGCAGGCACCAGGGCTAATTCTGCAGAGGCTGGTTTGGAGAAGCTCAGTTTCTTTGCCCAGAGCCCGAAGCGGGGTCCTGAGAGCAATGTACTCTCTGCTGCCTTACCCAACGCCCTTTCTCAGCGGGGCCGGGAAGGGGTAGATGCCTTTTTGCTCATATTTCTCATCGTCGCGAGTGAGGTGTGAGATGAAAACACCACATGGTGCCGCTGGCCGAGTCTGTTTCTCCTTCCTTCCGGGGCAGCCCTGTCTGATGTGGGGGGGCGCGTTTCCAGGCTGGCTCTTCCCCGCCTATAGTGTCTCGGCCTTCACTAACCCCCAGCGCACACACACGTGCATCACCACGTGGCCCAGGAGGCTGCTGCTTCGAGCTTACTCAATAAGCCAGAGGGAGAGGTGCCATCTTGGCTTTTCGTGTCTCTGCAAACAGCAAACATGGACTCACACTCTGGACCAAGTTTCACAGCGCTCAGTGCGCCGGACTCACTTTTCCCTGCTCCCTGAAGGATGAGTAGCTCTCCGATTTGGCTGCCTGGTGAGACTGGGCCCTGTGAAAGCCAGCTTCCCCGTGTGCCCCAGTTCTCTGCAGAGAGGCTGGAGAGCAAAGGCTAGGTTTGCCCACAGAGCTCATGTTTGCTCCCGGGCAGCTTTCAGGGGCTGTCCGGCCAGTGGCCCCTCTCTGCTGCTGAGCAAACACTGCCCCAGAGCACCCACTCGAAATCCCCTTAGAAGTAAGTGCAACGGAAGAGAAACTGCTCAAGAGCCTGAAGTGGGGGTGGTCACCCTCAGGACTTTCTTCCCCAGACAGGGGAGGGCTCAGAAGCCCCCGAGCTGGTTGTCCTGGGAAGGGCATGCAAGAAATAGACTTTGCATGGTGACTCCATGGAGGGAGGTGGGGCCTGGTGGCTGAGGCCCAGGATGCAGAGAGCGTCACTCCTCACTGTCTGCTGGTCTCTGCTTTTAAAGTTTGTGTCAGGAACAAGTGCTACCCACTGAAATACAGGGTGGGCAAAAGTGGGCTTACAGTTGAATACAAATAAATACAGCTCACCTCTGCACCCACGAGAGCCCCTCCTGCACCTTCCCTGCCCTGTCAGCCAGACCATCACTGAGCAGGCACCCTGTGAACCATAGAGCCTTTCTCCTCCCAGCAGGGCCTGAGGCCAACCCTTCCTG